CATTAGCACAGTGTAGAAAAGGGAAGGTCGACTTCGCAATCTCAGCTAGAAATATTTTAACACAACTAGAGCTTATTTTTATCCTGCTTCAATTTCCATAGCTTTTTATTCAAGCCTTGACTTTCCTTTAAATAGAGTCTTTCATCTCAGAGGATCCCAAATACTTATTGCAGGAGCATTTTGGCAGCTTTTCGCTATTGTTTCTTCACAGAAAGTGGAGAAAAACCTTGTTTCTGGTGACATAGGAGGCTGTCGTGCAACCGTGACACCACCAGCTGCGCAGCCACCGGACGTGGTGCTGCGATTGCTCGGATGACTTTGGAAATCTCTTCAGCCTTCGTCAGTGTCAGAGGGGTCACGATATATTTTTTAAAAAAATTCATTACATCTGCCTTTCTTTCATCTCGAGAACTTTAAAGCCCTGGTTTTTAAACTTCCGGTTTTAACTTTAGGCCCAATGCAAAAATCACTAGGGGTTTTCGTCTCCCTTTGCCTTCATTGAGGGTTTGGGGGCTTTAAAACCGCTGGTGGACCATGGTAGTTTTATGTGGGAGGTTTCTTGTCTAGATATGAAAGCAGACCCCTTACCTTGAGGCCTCCATACTTAAAAACGTTCTCCTTCACTTGCAGCTTGCAAGTATTGATGTTATGTTAGACTGTGCGTGAACTGCTGACTGAACGTTTTGAAACAGTCCATGAAAGCCTCAGATGAGAAGCAGCGACTGAAGCAGGAGCTGAGATGGGGCAGTGCTGAGCATTTTTAAGTATTTCAAAGAATTCCGTCGCTCGAGCAGCAAGCCCTAGGTTTGGGACAGCACGGGTTGAGGAGGAAGATTTTCGAATTTTGCAGGCTCTTCAAAATTCTTTTTCATTGTAGGGTGGGAGGGGGGTAAGGACCAACCCTGGGAGTTTAGATGTCCTCTCAGCCGAGATGGCCAATGTGATAATGTGCTCCCAAATCTCCTCTGTGACAGGGCTGGCTCTGCTTCTGCCTGCAGGAGGAAATTACTTTGAGGAGCCTTTCCCCGGTCAGTCATTTATCTGGTGTAGGGGGTGAGAAGGCAGCCCTGGAGAAGCAACTAAAACTCATAGACCTCTTTTCTCCCTCCCCTTTTGTTTCTGTTAGTGATCCCTGACATTCTGAAACCAGAGGTGATAAATAATTGCAAGGTGACTTGCAGGTTGGCTGTATGTACAAAAGGATGACTTTTTTTTGTGGTTAGATAGCTGGTGGTACAAAACGAAGTAATTTCCAGGCATTCACTATAGAAATATCCCCCTCTTCACATTTTCTCTCCCGGAGAGCTCCATAGCTCCAGTAAGAAGTCAGTAATTGAAGTGTCAGGACTCAGTATGGTAGAACAGAAATAGTTTGCTTGGAACTGTTGGTCTGGAAGACCTCAACCCACAGCGCTACAGCCCATGCAGTGTTCCGTAGGATGAGGTAAGAGGCCACGGAAATCTTTCTTGTTTCTTTGCACCATGAGGCCTGAAATCTGATTAGTCTTGTCCTCTTAGAATTGTGATTTAGGGTTCTAAAGCTGGCAGTATGTTCCCAAAAGACTACCTGTATCCATGAGACACAGTGAGTGAGACTATGCTGGCAAGGGTTTTCCCAGCCCCTCAGCAACTCCTGCGGCAAGAGTACAGGATGCTTCAGCAGAGCTCATCTGGTTTAAACAAGGGAAATCCAGTGTCCTTAGACAACAGCTTCTGGTTAAGTTCTAGGTGCCCAACAAAACCATCCTCCGAAAGTGCGTATGCACCCCAGATAGAAAAACAAAGGTACTGCCATAGACTGCGGCACAGAATACAAGCATCACAGAAGAGCAGCTTTTCTGAATACTGAAATTATATGTGCAAGTTCGGTGATTAAGTGTACTGCATCCTATGATACAGGCTTAGCTCCCCTCCAGTGTGGGTTCACACTTAATAATATATATAGGATCCCATGGTTCACACATATATAGGATCCCATGTTTCACATGTAATAAAATATATGTCCACACATAATAAATATACAAATTTTGTGTGTGAGAGTCCAGGTTTGGTAGCTGAAAAAATAACACTTGAATGTGAATACATGTAGCAACGTCTGGAAAGATGGTTAAATTAGCTAGCCTTTAATTGGGGTGCTTCATGGAAACAACCAAAGGTCTAGGTTTTCAAATAATTTAGATACAAAGTTGCCTACTGAGTTTTTACCGTGGTTATTGAGGAAAATTGGGTATTTACTGTGCAAATGGCCACTGTCCCATCGGTGGGAAATGGCCTGCTGCCTGGAGATAACAAGGGGACCTAACCTTGTAGCCTCTGGCTGGCAAACCGTAATTAAAATGCAGTCTCGTCTTCTCTCTGGAATGCTGTTTCCAAATGCTCATATTGAAGCCGCATAACCTCATTCATCAGGCATTCCCCTTGCCCCGAGAACAAGTTTCTTTTAAATTGCTAGCTCGCTATATGGCACTTTACAGGGATCTGCTAGCAAGGTCTTTTCAGTCCACGACAAAGGCAGCGGGGTCCACGCAAATGGATTTGGGCTGAGGAACGCGGAGGGAGGTTTTGCCGTAGCATTGGGTGCGGAAGGTCCCCAGCAGCTGAGCTTTGTGGTTAAAAAGAGAAAAAGCTTGAGGGAGGGAAGAGCGAGCCTGCTTTATCTGGATGGGAGTGCAGCTTTATTTCTCTGCTGATTCACATTTCTTTTGAGACCTGCTAATTGCAGCATCTCTCAGTAAGTTACTTACAGCAGTTCTGCTGGGTAGAAATTGTGATAAATGCATAAACTGTGTCTTATTGATTTCTGTTGACGTTTTACATGCTTCTTATGCATTCTAAACCTCCATTCAATAGTTGTCACTGTGGTACACGCACTCCTGGATAACGAGAGCGAAACAAGTGAATGAAGCGGTTTCTTGACCATTATAAACAGTATTATCAAGGCTCTGTGTGGGGTTTCTTGCCTGCCCTCCAGTATATCTCTATTTGTGCTCATCCCCCATTGAATTTGCAAGATGAGAAATGAAAACTCTTGGTGTTATCTCCTCTGTTAATGATAATAACAGAAATGTTTTCAAGAGAGATTACTTTGAGACTGATGGTGAATTTGGGCCTCTTTAATTTTAGTGCACAGCAGCAAGATGGAATCTAGCAGAGGTACTGTAGTTTATTTACCCTTCTACTGCACATTTTGTCTAGGTTGCCATACAGAAAGCTGTTCTGTTACGTCCTTTTCTTTGACAGAGATTTGTTGCTGCATAAGAACAGTATGGCAACACGTAGTGTGGCTAAACAGCAGTGAGACATCATCAGCTGTTACGTTACCTGAGAAACACGTAAAGAGTCACGACACTGCTGTGAAGTTTGCGTAAAAGAATTCTGACTTCTGATTTATGATTCTTACTGATCAGTCAGAGGTGCATAAGCCAGCTTAGGTTCTCTTTGTATCAAGGGCCTTTACATTCAAGAGAAAAAAAAAATACCGCATGATGCAAAAATGCATTGACTTTATTTTCATGACTAGATGTAGTGCTTTTGGGTAATGATCAGGCATTGCTTTCTCTTACTGTTGTTTGATTAAAATGTGAATACAGTCTTGACTTGATAATCTTACCAGGTACACACGGAGCGAAAAAGAAAAGGTATTTTATGCCTCAAATTGATTTGCATAAACCAAACAATCTGTTGCTTGTTGGATTGCAGAATGGTTTATTTTGCCCATTGGCCACAGGGGCAACAATATTGTATTTTTGATGCCAGAATGTAGTTTTCATGCATTAGCTCTAAAATGACAATATGCTTTAGCCTCTCAGTGCTTAGATTTGCTTCATTTGGAAATCTTTTAAGTAGTAATAATAATAATGTTTTGAGGAAATTGAGTGGAACACTAAATTATTCTCTGAAACCTAAGTTCAAACTGTGCAAGGCTAAGGGAGCTGAAAATCAATGCACTTTTAAAGTCATTAGAGATCACAAGTGAAAGAAGTCTGTGTTGCTTTAGCTAAGCTTTTAGCATGCCATGGTATTATTACAAAATCAGCCTGAATCTGCATTAATTTCACAGTCCTTTTCTTTAAGATGCCCAAGGGTGCATGAAGAATAAAATGTAAATCTCAGAAGGCAATGTTTTTATTAGGCGAAAGGGCAGTAAGTCATGCACTAAGAAAGTTGACCTGTGCCATGCCCAGTATAGGTATGACTGACAACAGTAAAAGAGCGGAAAAATAGCCCGGGCGTTAGCCTCCTGGCTTTTCATGACGATTTAAACAGCTGAGGAGGGTGAAAAGTGATTTTTTAGTCATTCATGCACATACCTTCAGAATTGATCACGTTGGTGGTAGCTTTCATGGATCAAAGAATTATACTTGTACCTAGGACTCGGAGAAACAAATATCATAAAGATTTTTATTTTTAACATGTTATTTTCTTAAATGTTGGGATTCCACCTACATTACTGAATTTTGTCTGAGTCTTTTCACACTTAGTCACAGGCTGCACAGTGGAGTTTTTCTCATCCTTATTTGTATGGTTGTTCTTGGTGCATCACAGAAACACGTGACGTTATGGACTCGTAAATTCCCAGTTCAGCTTCCAGTGATGCCAGTCACTATCCACAATTTACCTGCACAGAAGCCATAGCAAGCAATTGTTAATGCATGGCCTGAATAGACTGAACTATGCAATCCAAAGATGACATAAAAGCCTTACTCATTTTAAACCCTGTGGCTAAAGTAAAAAAGGAAAAAAAGAAAAAAAAAAAAAGGAAAGGAAAAAACCCTTTCTCCTGCCCCACCCCCACCTAATTTTTTTTCTTTCATCTATGGTCAGATTAGCAAGTCAGCACTGTCGATAAATAAACTAGAGAAGTTGTTTATTTTTATGTACTACTGAGAACAGTGTCGTCTTGTGGCCGTTCTCGTAGACTGTGTTGGTTTAACAAGCGTCCAACCCTTTTGTCTTGTTGTTTTTTGTCTTTCCTGCTCCCTGTCCCCTTGTTCCCACAGGCTGTGCGTTTGTCACATTTTCTACAAGGGCAATGGCACAGAATGCAATCAAAGCCATGCACCAGTCTCAGACCATGGAGGTACAGTACTGTATCATTTGCCCTTTCTTTGTTTTCTTTGTGCAAATGATTGCGAATGGTAAAGCCATGCTCTCCTGGACCAGACCAGACACATGACAATCACAGATTTCAACTTTTTACCGACTCACTCTGCCTCTCCCCGTGGAGCTGATTTTTCCTCATGACCTGCAGGCGCACCATAAGGCTACTGTGTGGTATCCAAACACGGCTCTTGATCCTGTTTTCAGTGGCATTCAGCGGAAAATAAAAATGCTGTGAATACCGCTCCTCGGTCTTGCTCAGAGTGTATCTGATGAGTAAATTACCTTTAATTTTAACACACACCCCCCAAAGTAAAATCTTTGTTTCTTTTAAATAGATTTTGAAGTGTTGTGGTTTGCGCTGCTCTGAGAAAAAGCTCAAGAGATTTAACCTGGCCACGCTGAGTTTACTAGTGCATGTGTTTTTCTGCAAATAGAATCTCTTCTTAAGTTAATATGATTTCTCCTTCTTCACGTAGCCAATAAAAATGCTAATGATGACAGAGCATAGCGAAGTGTGGCACTCCCTGCCGAGCCGCGTTGTGGCTGGCCCCTCTCAAGCAACGCTCTTTATCTCCTCCCAAACTGCCTCTACGGCCTCGTATTTTATCGTGATGAGCAACACCAAACTTTAAACCTCTTCACTTAATGTGACTGTAGCTGCAGGCTAATGATCTGTTCGTTGGAGTGGTGATCGAATGCCACGGCTTGTCTGACAAGCTCAAAACTTTTTCCAGTCTGTGATTTTTGTCATGGTCTTTCAGAATTTTGCACAAAACCCCCGCACAAGTATGAAGTCTTTACTTACTCTGGAGCTTCTAGCTTATCACTGGAGAGTGCATGTTATACTGTATTATGTATACTGTATCTTCGTGTAGTGATGATTTTTCTCAGAGGTGGCATTGATGTTATGTGCACTTGTTTCTTTTTTTATTTCTTTCTCCACCAGGACCTTTCGATATTTTTTCCCCCCCCTCAGTGATTTTTCTTTGCAATGCTCTAGTCTCCCAAAGCATGCTGGGTGCTAACCAATCATTATTGCGTCATGTCGTTAGGTGCTTTGTGTAACGAGCCGAGGGGGGAGACCAGGGGTGGGAGGGCGGAGAGAGGAGAAGAAGAAGGAGAAGATAAAAATCCAGTGCATGAAAATGTCACTAACTGTTTCCTGTATACTACGAGTAATGATACTGGCATTGCAAAGCTATTGTCTTTCCAAACATCACGTGTGAATTTGGTTGAGCTTCTTTTATAATCGCTGTGTTTTCTTTTCAGTGCAATGCATTTTTAGACCCCGAGTGTACAGTTTTAGATGAGAATCTGCCAATGAGATGAGAATAATTGAAATGATCTTTACTAGAAAGCTGATGTTGTGCAATCTATGCAGTCTGACAGTATATTGTAAAAAAAATGCCACTTTGAGTCTCTGAAATAGTATTCGTAGTAATTTGTCTGCCATGCACTGCTCCATTAAGTCAGATCTGTATGTTTTGCTGGGTTTGATTCCAAGTAAAAAGGAAATGTTTATTGGTAACGCTGTGTTTTACCTATATTTTTGCATGTGTTTTAATGTATTTTTCTGTCTAGCGAAATGAATTTTGCACAGCTCTGCTTCAGAAGATGGTAAAATTAAAGAGATAATACCTCCCAGACAAATTCTCCCATTCTTCCGCTGTGTGCAGTACTCCCACTGAGGCTGCGTTTTGGTGTGATACTTCTGTCGACATTAGCTCTATAGAGTAGTTACTCTTGGATGAAAATGTTTCTTAACACCTTTAGAGACATCATCAATGAGATCCCCAAACTGGCCAGGCGATTCCAAATATTTTGCCCTTTGAAGATCTGGGTCGTTGTGCCCGGTGAGCTTAGGCTGAGGGTCCCTCCTTGGAGAGCAGCAGTGACTCTCCAGCTCGGAGGGCGAGGGACTCGGCAGAGTCCGTACGTCCCCTCTTGCCGACACAAAGGAAAACGTGAAGGCAGCACCAGCTGTTGGGAAGAAAATGGCGCTAAAAGGGGTGGAGATACCGGGCCATTGGATGAGGAAGGGAGATTCACCTTACCCATGTGCTGGGAACTTCTTCTCAAGGTGGAAAATGGAAAAGCATAAAGCAGAAATCATTCTTTAAGCAAAAAAAATTCTGCTTGCTTTTGCCCATACTCTTGTAGTACAAAGGTGACTTGGGTTAGCTGGTGTTAAATCTCAACTCTCAGCCTGAAAGAGTGCTCCTTGGACACTTTTGTTTCATGTTTTTTGCAAACAAAAGTGGGCTGGGAGGACACTATGTAGCACGCAATGACATTCCAATGCGAGTACTGCAGAATTTTTTTCTGATTTCATTATTTTCAGTGCTTTGGCACACATCGTTGACCAAGATGATTTTTCAAAGTGGGCTAAAAAAGAGCAATGAGGAGGTTGATGGCCAGATGAACACAGCTCCTAGAATAACGAATTGTCTGACTACTCTTTCCACCTGACTTTCTGACCTGGTTGAATCAACTGATTTTAAAAAACATAATTGCTGCCCTAAGTTTTTGCTCTTCTGTCTCATTTCTGTGGAGTTTGTTTGTTTGTTTGTTTGTCTAAGGCATTCAGACGCAGCACCAGTAAAAGACACTAATTTGTTATCATGGAGTAAATTTGATGCAACAGTAACAACCCTTTTCTCATATAGAGCCACTTGCTACATATAATTTCAGTCTTCAGAATGTTTGCTCTCTTGAAAATGATGAAGTGATGAAATATAGAGCAGACAGTGAAAAAATGAATTATAGATTCATAAATTGCAGATATATTGTTTTTATACAGTTTACTGACATTTAAGCATTCATAAATTTGATATCAGCCGTAGTGTTGAGTGCTGAGCTGCTGAACTGAGAACGGAGATAGCCAGATGATATTTCTTCCTTTGAAATTTATTTCGATCTCTTTGGAAATACACTTGGTTCTCCTGTACACCTAGGTAGAAGGCAGTAAGTTCTAGCTGTTCTTAGCCCAGTGCTACCAAATCTCATATTAAATAGAAACAGCTTGTTTTTTTAATTAGTGAAACCAGAAAAATCTCTCTCGCACCCTCCACCCCCCAGCTCCTTTTTCTTACTTTTTTATTTAAAGGGTCTTGTTTTTAATATTGGTATAAAAAGCACTGAGGAGAGGTAATTGTGTACCAAGCTGACTCCTTCATAATCTTTATTTGATTGCTGGAGTGGTACGTGTCTCCTTTCTTCCTCACTGAAACATTGAAAGACATTTTTACAATGAAACGCACAGGAAAGGAGTTGAAGGTGGAATAATAAATCACAAGTGATGATTTTCTAAGATAATCCTAAAGGAACGGTGTTGATGGGAGATCTTCATACGAGAGATTTTATTATTGTGGTTTATTTCATCATTTCATCTGTCAACTGTGAATATTCTTAGCGTTTGCCCTGATGGGAGGTTCTTCAGAGAAAAGGTACATGGCTGCTTTTTGTAAATAATAGAGGACAGGACCTTGTCGAAGACGTTCGCAGTGTTGTGAGAGCAGCCATAGGAAGAGTTTGGTTAAGCCTAACCCCGCTCCCCATCCCACGCTATACACCTTGGCTAAAGTGCTGCTGTGTTTTTTGGACTTGAGTCACTTTTCACTCCTACCATTGTGTTCAGATTGAAGTTAGACAAGAAATGAGTGTAACGAAGCATGGAGGGTGGAGGGAAGCTAATCGTTGGATCCTGTGAAGCTGGAAAACTATGAAATGGATTGACAGTTTCTATGACTCACAAAATGCTTGAATTAATTTGAAGAACTGAATCATTGCAGTATGTAGTTTGCTCCCTTGATTTGAAAAAATGAAGAATTGAAAGGTTAAAATTTGAAAACATTTTTTTTTTTATTTTAGCGGAGGGAAAAAAAGTAGATCAGGAGCAACAGAGACTTCTCATACTCACGTCTCATTCTCTCAGTGACTTTGCCCAGGAATACCCAACCTGAAGTCCGAGGGAAATATCCAGCTTACTTCAATAGTCCACCTGGTCCATGACCTTCTACTTCTTCTCAGGGGTCCCTCGGATGTGTGTGAGGAGTAGGCTACAGACCAGATCTCTAGTTCTTTCTTACAGCCTCCCTCTTTCCTAAGGTGTCTTGCAGTCCTCCCATATTATGTAACGAGAGGCCTAGAGAAGCAGTAGAAGAAATGGTGGCAGTCAGGAATGGGCTGCCATCACCAGAACTAGTCCCTTTTGGCCTGCGTCCTGCCCTTTTTTCACATCTCAAGGGTGCTTGGTACAAAGCGTGCCTGGGAGCAGACCACAGGTGGGTGAATTGTCCTAGCAGCATCACCCTTTGCGCTCACTTGGGGCTGAGGGTCCTTGGTGTGAAAAGGACCAGTGACCCGCTGATGACGGGCGCTGAAGTAAATCTGTTGCTCACAGTCTATTTACGTAGGGTACACAAGCCGGCCGCACCGAGCGTGCCCGCACAGCCAAGCCGTGGTGGCATGGCGGTGTTGGCTGTGTGGTCCCTGGCAGCGGGGAGGTTGGACACCTCTCCCTTTGCGATGCCTTGAAAACAGACTGCAGACAGCATCACGTCCATCTCATCAACTGTGAAGCTTAATTAAAGAGGACTGGTACACTTTGCTGTCTCTGGCAGCAGTTTTGATAGCTGGAAGGAAAAGAGAGCCTGAGGAAAGGTGCTTCATACAAAGAACTGGGGAATCAATAATTTCTCCATAGCCTCTTTTCCTGAGAAGCTGAAAATCTCAGTCCTTGCGGTCCTGCATATGCCGGTCACAAAGAGAGGGTGAGCGATCAGGTCATGCCATTGCCGGTGGCCCTGAAGGGACATGGCTGAGCTCACAATGCGAGGGTGACCCAGTGTGATTTAACCCTTTCTGTCTTTCCCCATCTGTCTAACCACAGGGCTGCTCTTCGCCAATCGTGGTGAAGTTTGCCGACACCCAGAAGGACAAGGAGCAGCGGCGTTTGCAGCAGCAGTTGGCACAGCAGATGCAACAGCTCAATACTGCCACATGGGGAAACCTCACAGGTCTTGGAGGACTCACACCACAGTACCTAGCTGTAAGTCCACTATGCAGGCGGTGGCTGTATGATACTGTCTTTATTTTAGAACCGTAGTAAATCAGCTATAGTAAACTCCCCGCAATAAGTTGCAAAGTCCTCCAGGATACATAGCATCACTTCTTCTATATAAAAAAAAAAATCTGTGTGTTTATCACATGGTCTAAAAATAAATAACGAGGAACAGAATTTGAATAAACATTTCAAGATGTGTCCGTGCTGTCCAGGGGAAGCATTAGAAGTTTACTCGTGCTGCAGAATAAAGTTTGATCTATTAGTTTTGTTGTTCGTTTGAGTGTTGGAGTCTGGTTGTTTTGTAGCTGGAGTAAAATTGAAGTTCTTCCTTAGGGGAGGGCAAATGAGCAGCTGAATGCTGGTAGAGGCCATATCTGTATGGCACAGCCTCTAAGTAGAATGTTGTGGTTCAATCCTCTATTTTTCCACATTCTCATTTGGAAATGGCGTTCACTTTAATGCGTGGTTCATACTGCCTTCTGCAGAAGGCAGAGACGGCCGAGGAAAGCAATTTGCTTCTCATCAGTTTAACACGGCGTTCTCCTTGGTGCATTTGTAAGGTGAGAAAGAGACATTAGCTGCTGCCCATGTGGGAGAAACCTGAATTCCACAGCCACCTGTCTTAGGTCCTGGGTGGCTGAGGGGGAGCCTTTGCCTTGTGGGCTCTGGAGTTGAGAAGTCTTCCTGAGCAGCTTGTAGATAACTTGGAGAGTTCCTGATGGTTCCGAGCTAGACAAATAGATGCGTCCGTATATATGTACTGTGTATGCATAAATATATCATTTGTATGCATACAATGCTTTGGTAAAGTGATATAATTATAAACAGCAATTTACCTGGCAATTAAAAATATATATTAGTACTGAGGTAGGCTAATTAATATTGAAGTAGACTAAATTGTTATATACAAATACCAGTCTAATGAGTGTCTCTCTGCTTGATTCATAAAGATAATAAAGAAAAAAATGAATTCAGAGGGGTGGGGGAGAATGGACCGTGATTGACAGAGATGAGTTATGGTAACTACTAGACTACAGAGGGTTGTAATTAGTCACGCTATGTTGGTTTAAATAGATTTAACACCTGGTTGTTAAAAAGAATAAATTGATTAATTGTTTTAAAGCAGCAATGTTATTGAGTTTCCCTTGTGTCTCTGTGTTTCTTAATAGAGATTAGACATTAATATGGATTTACAGCATTGACTCTAGGGATGTTCATTCCAACAATAGACAGAAGCAAGAGACTATATAAATGTAAAGGAAAGCGTAAATACTCCAAATGTGGAATGATAGCTCATTTTAGGTTTATCTTCATTTGTTACATGAATGTCAGATGGATTGCTGTGTTGTGTTGTTAATTTGCAGCTTCTGCAGCAAGCAACTTCCTCCAGTAACTTGGGTGCCTTCAGCGGCATTCAGCAAATGGCCGGTAAGTTAAAAACCATTTCATTTTGCTCCAGCTATGTTTTGTATTCTGAAGCTATTGAATTCTGTACCTCTAATAATCACATTGTCGGGGCAGGGGGGAGCGTGTTGTGTATTAAATGTGGCAGATGTATTGGCAGGGGACAGCTCGCGGTTCAACATCAATAGAAACACTTTCTTCCCTCTTTCAGAAACTGAAATTAAACCCAGTGATCCCAGGTTGTGCAAACAGTTTGTCTTGCATTAGTCACCTGCCATTTGTCCAAAGTAACGAATTGTAAATTGCAGGAGAGTTCTTAGTCCCCGCAGCCGTATCCTACCCTATGAAAAGTCTCAGTAAAGCAACAGCAGGATTACATTCTAATCTCCAGTGAGATTTCTGTGTCCTGAAAAATCAAATTAATGGCAGCCCTCAAACATTTTAATATTACATGGTGGGTAAAAATGTTCTGACCTTTTTAATGAAACCCAAGATTACAGACCTACCTTCAGTAGGAATTTTCAGGCTCCTTTTATAATCACGGAAAATTAACTGGGTGCCTTTTTGACTTTGGAACCCTAGTTGACAAAATTACACAACAGAAGCTTTTATGTAAAAGTATAATCTTTAGTCTGGGGGGAAAAAAAGAAAGAAAGAAAAGGGAAAAAAAAAAATCAAAGTATGAGCGGATTTGAAAGCCAGCTAGTTGGAGGGTTTCTTAGTAATGAGCTGTGTGCCACTAGTAACTGATGTGTAGTGATTAGCGAAAGGTCACTCCCACTGTGTGACCTACCATGCTGATACCCTAACTTAACATGATGCTGGAGAAGGCAGCATGTGCAGTAAATCAGAGCACAGATGCACATTATGCCTGCCGCGAGAAACTGTTAAAAAGCTTTTTTTCTTGTTAGAGGCTAAAAAAAAAAAAAGAAACACAAAACCCCTAAATTGCTACATTAGTTTGTTTTAATCATGAGCCCACGGAATCAATGAAATACAACATTGTGCTTCCTTCATCATCACAAAACACGGGCTGAAATATTCGGAAGTCTTTACGAACACCATTTTCTCACTCCTCTTTTAATCCTGGTCTGCTGCTTCTGCTGATTCTGCTTTGAGTGAATCCTGAAATGCTTTAACAAGTATAGACATACCGCACCACATAGCTATACCCCACAGGTATTCTTTGTTCAATCGTTACATTATGCCATTATTGCAGTGACATCATAGACTAATGTGAACCTGCTGTCTGACAATATAAATTGGCCTACAGATGACAATATCTCTGAATTATTCTCTCTTCCTCAGACCTGCTGGCAGTGCTTGCTGGTTCTATTATGTTACACTTGTAATCTAGCATATTTTCATCAAAAAAAAAGTATCTTAATATGATAAACAGAACACAGCAGTTCAGTAACAGTTTTATACTTGGCAGTTTTGGAAGTGGCTTTGAGCTCAGAGATTGTGTTTAATGCTTTCATACTTTGTTAGGTCTACAAAATAAAAGAATTGAGACACCCAGGAAAAATAATGTGATATCCATTGCATTAGGTGCACTTAGAAGTTTTCTGTTGCAAGTTTCTCACTTTTAGTGTACATTCAGCTTTGTCTTCAAGAACTGTGTTAAGACTAAGAATTTTAGTCAAGTAATTTCAGGATGGGCTCTCAGTCTGGGATGTGATTTATTCTCTAAAAATCATATGGTCTTGATATTAGTAGAAAGTCATCTTAACAAATCATAGTGGCACGTCGTTGTTACTTGAGGGATGTGCCTTCTTGGCTACCGATTAAATTGCTAATGCTCTCATCTATGGGATAATTTAATGACTGACTGCTTCTCCTGGAAAATATGTATTTTTAATCTTATATTCATGTTACCAAAACAGCTTGAAGCTAACTCCATTCTTTCCCCAAAACGTGTAAGTCTTAAACCTTGGTGTACAAGGTCAAATTAGGGATATTAAATTTCTCTCCAAGCTGCAGCTCTGCGTGAAAGTGCCAAAGACTAAGCGTTATTTCATCATGAGGACTGAGAGTTCATGTCCTCTCCTCAGAAGTCATGCAGTACTGTTATGCTGTGTATTAAAGATGCATTTATTATGTTTGATGAAAGGAATAGAAAATAATCCTGTGGCTGCAGCAAGGTCTTGCATTACCTGCTGAAGCCATCCTTGAATGTTTGTAAAGGCCGAGTTTTTAACTTGAGCTGTATACATTCATTTCAGAAAAATGAATCTAATAGGTATTTCCGTATTGTGTATATTACCTATTATTGTAGTATTTCAAGGTGAAGAATAAAATCTAGGCGGAATGGAGTAAGTTACGAAAGAAGAAGCATCATTGCAGTTTGCAAGTTCTTTGAATTTTCAGGAGTCCAGCTTTTATCTTTTAAGTCAATGGGTGAATTCAGACACTAAAAGTTTTATCAAAAGCCACTTGAGCCATTGAATTATCACTCTTACATGTCAGGGCTCTAACATCTCTTCTGTGCTTAAGTCTCCATGAAGTCACATTTTCTAAATTGGGACTACTAATACAGCCACCTCCTCCTCCTCCGAAAAATCACAGAATCACAGAATGGTCGGGGTACTCCACAACCTCCCTGGGCAGCCTGTTCCAGTGCTCCATCACCCTCAGAGGGAAGAAGTTCTTCCTCATGTTCAGCTGGAACTTCCTGTGCTTCAGTTTGTGCCCATTGCCCCTTGTCCTGTCACTGGGCACCACTGAAAAGAGTCTGGTCCCATCCTCCTGACACCCACCCTTGGATCTGCAAACATTTATCTGTACTGCAAAAGCGCGTGTTGTCTCTGTACTGAACTGAAAGGACACAGCGCCCTCCCCTGCTGCGCATGGGAAGAAAGATTTGCCATGTGGTCCTCAGCGATACTATTTCTGAAATCAGAGCAATTTTCTTTGCTAGTCGAGCAAAGACACTGACCTTCGGTGTGAAGTTTTAAATTCCCTTTAGTTTGTCATCTAGCTTTCCAAGCTTTAAGGTTCCACACTTGATTCTCCACTTTAGGTTTTCTCATTTTTATGGAAAAATGAGATTTTCATGAAATTGTTTTATTTCAGGAGCCAACCTGAAGAAAAGTGTGTAATATGTAGAGACTGATAGTAGAGTTGGGAGAGTTGGCAATGCTGCCTGTGGCATTACAGTACTCCCCTGGTCTTGATTACAGGAGTTAACCCTACCTTGCCAAAGTCTGCCTCACCGTCCTTTGTAAAATATGCAAGCACATACTATCATCGAGGCTGTATTTTCTAGTGAGCACGTCCTCACTTTTCCTCCCCTCCTCTAATATCTGCTAATGCTAATTTAAAGGCAGTGTTTTCTCTCACACGCCTCTCAAGCCTCGGTGTCTAGCGTGTGCGTTGTCTTGGGGGAAGGCTAATAATGTAGATGAATCACATTGTGTGATTGGATTGTCTTACTTTAAAAAGACAACGCAAGCTACATTAAGCACTAGCAACCTTTCAAGCAAAACAGATTCCTCCTTGAAATATATACAGATTGCCTGGAAAGCTTAGTTCAAAGGAGATTGATGTCACTTGAACATTTGCGTTGAATATGGCTGGCGCTGGATCAGGTCCTAAAAGCTGCAGTTGTTTAAGCCAACCTACCTGTTTAAGAAGAACCTGGAAAGTACTGCTCAGACAGTATAAACAGGGAGGTTTTGTGTTACGTAGGGTGATTGTAGAAAATGGAAGTGTTCATAAATATACGATCTATGAAGATTTTCTATTGTCCATTGATGTAAAGTGTTTTGACAGGAATAAATATTCGCTCATACAGATATATTTCTGTGTATGTGACTATTCAGGACATATAAACATGTACAGTGCTCATAAAAGACACAAAGGGACTCCTGAATTTCATCAAACAGACGGTGTATTTTGCTTTCTGAAGGAGAAGAAACCATGCTTTTGGCTTTTCTTGCTTTGGCTTTCAGATCCCTAAACCCTCTACAGCTGGGACTTTGTATATTTTTCCAATGTGTGTTTTTTTTCCAGTCCTTTCCAAACTCTCTCACAGTTTGGTTGCATTTTGGGTTGAACTTCTGGCCCGTTCTGAGCCCTGTTCAATCCATCTCACCCTTCCTCTGTTACCCAAGCCAGATTTCCTCCTGTTGCAGAGTCTGTAGGAGCAGATGGGGTGAGATGAACTCTGTGAGGTTCTGCTTTCTGAATATTTTCCTCTAATTGTTGGACTGGCTCAGTGGATCTGGAGGGACCAGTTGGAAGCCAGGACCATCTGCACAAAAGCTCTATGCTTCTGCATTGGCCCAAGAATCCTTTGTATCCTCTGACTCTGTGGTGGCTTCGTTCCAGCAAAGCCATACTGAAAGAGGGCTTCTCCTGCTATGACCTCTTTAGGGATATCGTATTAAAAGTAAAGGTCACTTAGAAACTGTTTCCAACTCAAGGGAGATAGCTGTTTCTTAAAGATAACCACCAGTTTGGAAAATGTTGACCTCAGGGACTAAAAACATTGAGCTTTTGTAACAGTAATTCCATTGAAAGTCCTGCTTCATTTAACCCACACAGTTAGCTGCTTTTTTTTTTTTTTAGCTAAGAAATTTAACAACTCCCTTTAGCGTTTTTTGGAGAGGCAAAGTTTGAAGCAATTGAGGCTGCTCTCAATCCACACGTGGCTTCTGCTTATGGAAGGAGGAGACCAAACACTAGGCGCTTTACAAGACCTGCTTATTCAGGTGGTAAAAGTGCCTGATGTGGAAGTTTGGCTCAGTTTGGACATAAGATCTGTAGCTCTGACTGGGCTTTCTTTAAACGGTGAAAGGACGGAGAAGGGCTTTTTGTTGCCTTGGATCTTCTGTGGGTGGAATCCATCCCACTGAATCGCAGCAGTTTGGAAACAGGCGCCCGGTCTCCCTGCGCTGCCAGTGAAGAGGGAGTCACTCGCAGGCTGCAGTTCGTCCTGCCAGGGGCTGGGGTTCATCTGTCTGGTTTAGGATGGGATGGCTCAGCTGCTCCCTCGCTCTCCTTTGACTGTAGCAAGAGCC